CCAGCCGGAAAAGCTCTGAAAAAGGAATGCGAGCGAAGCCCAGGCGGCTCCTGCGTGCTCCTAGAATGGCGGACGTCTCTTTATATCAAGAGCAAGAGAATCACAAGTGAAATTATAACCCCAAAAGAGCTTAACTGAAGAAACAGTATCATCCATCTTCTGAGTGGCCGACCAGCAGGGGGGGTGACAGCAGTCTGGCCCCCCCCCCCCCCCCCGCGCTGCACAGGGCATGTGGAGGGCAACACCCTGTACCGGATGGGCAAACAATAGGTGTTATTGAAGATGGGCTTCAATCAACTTCCTCTAAACTTTCCAAACACTATAGGTTCTATGCCATCCCCACATTCTTCAAGCCTAATGGAGAAGATGCGGTTCTTAGTATTTGCTTGTGATTCGTTTGTTAGTCACTGCTAATTTGTTAATGCAAATATGTTAATTTTCAGTTCATGCGGCCTCATCTCGTTTTCGAAATGCTGTCAGATGCTAATGCCTGTTTTGAACACTTGCTTCCTGTCATCCTTGCCGATCAAATTATGTTTTGAGGCCTGTAATCTGAATGACGCAGCCCCCTGAGGCTGTTAACCATTAGGGCGTCCCTCGTAAAAGACGGCAGAGGGGGTTTCTGAGGTACTCCGGATGAAGCCAGGTGACCCATACAGTGAGAGTGAGGGGATGGCTGGCAGAGACAAAGGTGTCCGTGGTCTGAAGAGCGCCAGGTGGGATCCGCGCGGCCGCAAGCGCTAAGCTACCCTCGCTAACAAAGCTACAGCTGGGCCCAGCCAATGGCGGCTCCCCTTACAAAAATACATTGTGTAACGTGGCACCTGGCCTGCCCCATCGCCATGGCGACACCACCAATACAGGAAAAAAAGTATCGCTGATGCGTCCATGGCTTTGCGGGGGGGGGTCAGCACTGATGTAAGGCGAAGCAGATGTGACTCATCCCAGCAGTCGGAAGGATTTGTGCGTATTCCGACTGGAAGGTTTATACGTTTGGATTTTTTAAAATGACTCAAACTGTAATTGTTTTTTTCCCCCATTGGTGCCACACTGGCTCCTCCGCAGTGCATCTTCATGGGAAAATGTAACAAATGCAGAGTGATTTAGTGGCTCCATCCAAAGCAGATTACTCTGCCTGCCTATAAATCACATTTACATTCGGGGTGTGGAGATGCAAGCTGACTGAAGGTCTTTGAAATGGGAAGTGCATGTCTGTGAGAGATGTGGGAGGTAAAGCAAGTGAGAGAGAGCGAGAGGGCACATTTCACATAGACATAAACGCCATTTTTTTCTCCTCCTTCAGCTTCGTCGCCGCTAATTTAGGCCATGTGCCTGCCACAAACTTGGCACATACCGCCGGCACTGCAAACAGCCCGACCGCGGGCCAACTGACAGCAGGGGCCCAATGCTGGCCTTTCACGCCCCGATTCCTTCCGGAGAGCCTCGGATCTCGGCTCCCGTAGTGTGGAGGACTGAGACTGGGTTGATCACAGTTTCCGTAGTGGGTCAGGTGGTCTGGCTGGCGCTGCCTTCTGTCTGAGTGATGCGATGCTGTACTAGAAAGGCAAGTCCGGCTGTTTCTTGGGGTGTAAGACCGCCCAACAGAATGTTTCCTTGGAAATGTGGACGCTTTCCCAGTCACACACTATCCTTCTAGACTATTGTTACCATAAACTGTGGTGTGTTAACAAATGGCACTGTTGTTTCACTCTGTGTTAAGGGCTGTTGGCCCACCACTTTGCGAGAAGCGCTATATAAACACAATTCTCACTCACAAACAGCTACTTCTTTTTAATTCCCGAGAATATTACCACCATTCGCAAACAAAGGCTGCTAATCTCTTTAGAAGACTGTTCTGGCCTCAATTGGACTACACCTATTTCCCAGAGTAAAAAGTAGAATTCTCTGTTTTATTGTGGAATGTTCTCTGTATGGAACATGAATGCATATCAGAATGCAAGTGAATCCCTTAATTTACACACATAAGTAACATTTCGTAATTCGCTGGCATCCCATGCAGAGTCTCCACCAGCTTTTGACCTGTGCTGCCTGGGACAGGCTCTGCACCCAGCCCCCCCGTGACCCTGAGCAGGATAAGCGGGGAGAAGATGGATGGATTTTGTAATTCAGTTTGACTTTATAAATATAATTCTTTCATTTAGGATAATGCTAAATCAGATTCTTTTTGCAGCTTATCATTATTCTGTGTGAAAATAAGATAAAAACTGAAAACAAGCCTCATTGCACTTAGAGTAAGCTGACAGTTGTCTTTTTTTTAAAGGCAGGTGGACAGGAGCTGTTAACCGGGGGGGGGGGGGGGGGGGGGGGGGGGAGCTGTTGGCACAGCTGTGCAAGCTTGTCACATCTTACAGCTAGGGGGAGCTCACGGGGAGCTGGGCTTCCATCAGTGTGGGTGGTGCAAGGGGCACGTGGGGTCAGTGCTGGCCAACGGGTGGCCAGCTGAATCCAGGGGCCCCCTCGCCGGGTCCGACTGATGAGTGACTGGCTGAGGCCGGGGTCCCCTACAGGGTCCGGCTGATGGCCGGCTCTAGAAGGCTCCCATGCAGCGCCGGTGACCTGTGGGGTCGGACCTCCCGGCAGCTCTGCTGCTGACTCAGCTGGCCACACATATCTGAACTTCTCCATCACGGGGAGGGGGGTGTTTATCCACCACGGGATTTTATGTTTGTACATCAACACACAGGCGTTCACCCCCTCACATTTTTCTAGCTGGATCTTGCTTTACAAAACTGTAGGAGTTGACCAAAGAGATCAATCCATAAAAAAAAAATCAATCCAAATGCAAAACTGCTCTCAGCCTTCATTGGGTCATGTCTCGAGAGGGGGGGCAGGCCCTCAGGCCGATACACAGGAGACTCGAACCCCCAGCATTCCCTCCACGTGTCATGTGCAACCCCGAGTGACAGTCAGCGGACCACGGGATCTGAACCAACAGCCAGACGGTGTGGCTCTCTGTGTGACAGCCAATCAGACTCCTATGCCTGGTAAGAGACTCCTCAAAGATCTTATAAAAGGTTCTTACAGGGGGGTTGCAATAACACAACACAACACCAATTCTCTGAATGACACCTTTATGGGTGAACAGTAGGGGGCAGCAGTGAGTGTTCATTGTAGGTAGCAGAAGAGGCCCAAGGTTCATGTGTCTAAGGCAGCATGTTTGCGCTTACTGGAATCGGAGGCAAAAACAAAAAGCTCACCCAGCAAGCTGGGGCAGTTACCCTTCTTACAACTAGGGGGCGCCTCTCTTACTCCAGCATGCAGGCGGGGTGGAGGCTGCCAGTTGCCTGCCCTTCTTTTGCAAGGTGCCACAGGCAGCCATTCACCACAGCTTCTAGTTTCAAGCACTGTTGCTCCCCTAAATGCTTTGGGGGTGTGTGTGTGGGGGGGTGTACTTCCTGCTTGTAAATCGGCTGTTCCAGTATCTCCTGGAGTCAGAGAGAGGGGCCCCAGGGTCCAGACAAAGAGCGGCATTCATCACAAACTCCTCATCCTCCATGCTGGTCCAAGCACACCACACAATAAACAGAAGTTAGAGGGTGTGTGTGTGTTTGTGTGTGCGTTTGGCTGGGGTGTTAAGTAACAGAAAAGAGAAAAGGTTGTTCATCAGGAAATGATGCCGGATTTTTCGTAAGACTTTATAGTCAATGGGGCTTTAGAAGACACACAATGACACGGCTCAGCATGAAAGCCCATCGGATCGGATTTCCGCTATTCGGTTCTGGACGCGAGAGCGTGTTTGGATCTCGGCACGTTGCAGATGAATCGATGCGGCTTCTGCTTCGCTGGTATGGGGTCCTCTGATCACCACACGCTGCCTGGTTTGCTAATGTGTGAGGCGTCCTGTCGTGCCTGTTTTTTTTTTTTTCTCCCCCTGCCCTTGGCAGTCGAGGGAGGGGGTTCCTTTCCTGCTAGTCCCTGAAGCCTGACGCACCCCGCTGCCGACATGGGCCGACCCAGCCCAGGCTGAGAGGTACCATTAAGGCAAAGGATCCATTCAAGCAGCACAAAGACGGCATTGTGGACCCGCCATAGCCGCTCATGGGAAAAAGCAGGAGCAACGTTGCCCTTGTCAGCTCCCCCCCACCCCCCAAGCCCTTTACTCCCCATCCTTCTTCAAACCAACATGGGATGTGATGTAGGCCTCATGCACCTGTGGCCGACAATATGAGCCAAGATTTAACTTGAGGGGTGCCGGGGGTCGGCGAGTCTCGGCCATTTATGTCTTGGGCCCCGATTCCTCAGGTTTGTGGGACTTATAGCTCTCTGCTAATTGCTAATGAACACGATTAGGCTCCTGAAGACACATTTTTGACATTTGTTCGATTTAGCTGGCATCCCTTAAATGGTCATGACTAATTCGACGCTCGTTAAGGGTTAACTTACACGCTGACTCAGCCTCTTGTCAGCATTACAACCGTTAGCGTTATGCGAAGGAGAGCAAGAGATCCTTTCTGACTCTCTGTATGACTCAGCCACAGAGAGGAGGGCACGTGGGAGGCGGCGGCGAGGACAAACGTGGGCTGTCCTGGCCATAGGAAGTCCTGAGCCAGCAATCCTGAACCCTGCTCCCTCACAGGCTCACCCTACATCAAAGACTCGTGTTTCCTGCCATAATTCTGCTAATAATTAGCCCCCCCGGAAGGGAGTGAAGCCGTCATCAGCCTGAAATAAGAATTTACAGGGAGAATTTACAGTGAAATATGCTCACAGCTACTTTAGCACTTAGTAATTGAATTTTATTTTAAAGGATCAAAGTGAATAATTATTGTTAGAATTTATTTAGCACATGCTTTGTTCCAAAGCGATGTACAATTCAAAGCAGGATCAGTGAGTTCCTGGAGCAACTGGGGGTTAAGGGTCCTGCTCAAGGGCCCAACACTGAAATCACTCTGGGGTTTGAATTAGGGACCTTCTGATTACAGACACACGGTCCTAACTCACCTGCATACCAGAGTGCTCCCTAAAAACTGGCCACCACCCGTCATGGACAGGATTCGAACCTGTGCGGGGAGACCCCATTGGATTTCGAGTCCAACGCCTCTCAGCCACCATGACTACTTTATAGCTTGATGCTACTACAGGCAGTATAGTGGCATTTTTCCCTCTTATCCCTACTGGACATTTTTATTGGTTAAGCCAGGCCTAGCCAGTTCTGGTCCAGGAGGGCCATAACCCAACACAGTTTCCAGATTGCTCTGTTCAAACACAACTTCTAAACCAGGTAATTAGCCGATTAACATGTGTTTGAGCAGGAAAATCGGCAAACTGTGCTGGATTCTGGCCCCATGGGACTGGATTTGGACGGCCCTAGGTTAAGCTAAAAGATACTCTGTATGTTTAAAGACTCAGGAAGGTCTGGAGGACCTGTAGCAGGTACAGGGGAGACAGCGCCGTGTGCCAGTTGCCAGTAATGCTGACACGCAGCCCAGAGGGCTTCCTGTGTGGAAATGGCCTTCCCGTACTTTATTACAGAAATGTGTAGTCTGTATTCTAAACATGTGCCAGGATTGCACGCAATACATTTGAGTTGTATGTAAACATAAAGTGATTATTTGAATATATACATACATGATAAGATACATTTTATTGATCTGAGTGGGGAATTCTTGAGCATGCCACAGCAAGGTGCGTAAAGAGCACACAGATAAACTTATAATGCATACATAGCATATACTGTATATGTATATATTTCTAGCAGACTTTCAGGAGAGCAAAGGCTACATCTCCTCCCCGAAGAGGTCCGACTCGCTCCCCAACTGTCCCACCTGTCGACCCCGCAGGTCACAGAATGTACCTCCTGACACATTCCTGACCTCTGACCCCAAGAGATCCCGTGACCCCTGTGGCTAATGAGGCGAATACCCTGAAACCGCACAAGACCGCGTCATCCCTGGACTCGCCACAGGGGTCCCTCTAGAGATGGTGAGCATGAACTCTGTCACCTCGCTTTATTTGCGCACGAGGGTGACGTCTGGCTCGGGCCCGATGACTGCGTGCGGGTGACGTTTGAAAGTCAGTTTGTGTGCTTGGGGCGAGAATGTGCCATCCCCCCTTAGGACAACGAAATGGATGTCGTCACTTTGGGGGCCACGTCCCCCCCCCAGTGAAGGCGCCTTTGTCCTTTAGACAGTCACAGACACCTGCTGCCATCTGAATTCGTCAGGAGCTGGCAGGGCGACTCAGAAGCTGCCGGCAGTGGGGGGGGGGGGGGGGGGGGGGGCCGCGCGGGGTGGGGGGGGGGGGGGGGGGGGGGATGGCGAGCAGCCAGCCGGCGAGTGGGAGGGTGGGGGGCTGTGGGGGATTTTATGACAGTCGCTCCTATTCAATTGCCACCAGACGGTATTCTGTGACTAACTTGCCTACTCGCTGTGTCACTCACTATGCCACAGCCAAGTCGCGTTTGCGGAAATGTGATGGCAAAAACCAGTACCTATTGACATGGGTCCCTGCTGGAACCACTGGCTCCCCCCACTGGGGGACTTGGGTGCTGCCCCATGGGGCCCGGGGTCCTGGGTGTAACACACTGAATGTGGCACTTATATCGATATCGTCCAATAAGACTGGGGACGGCAGCTCCTCACGGCATCAGGTCGGAAAACAGTCATGCAATAGGTGCATTATTAACAGTGCTAAGGTGTATTAACGGGGAAACACATTTCAGCTGAATTCTCAGTCATGTGTTTGAGGTCATGTGACCACACACATGCAAGTATCATCGGCATTAACCCGGTGTCAGTGTGACTGCAGGTAATCTGGGTTTCCATTTATAAGTGAACTCTGTAGATAAATGTAGATCTTTTCAGGCTAAATATATCTGTCTTATTATCAGCTGTGCTAGACTTTGCACCTTCCTCGCTCTCAGCTGTCAGCAGGTCTAAACACACCGGCTGTATGCGAGAGCTGCCTTATGTAACGCCGTGCGCTATGCCGGAAATGTTAATGACTCGTCAGTAATTAACGCTGCTTGGGCCCACCGGCCATTTCATTTACATTTTATTTACCAGACGCTTTTATCCAGAGCGACATGCATTGAAGAGTGGATGCAAGTCAGCCAGTCCCTGAAGCAGCTGGGGGTTAAGGGCCTCATTCTGGGGCCCAACAGTGAAATCAGTCTGCTAATCACAGGATTTATGTCGGCGACCTTCTAATCACAGGCCGTACTAATGTGTCGAGTCACACAGCACCTCCTAAAAGGGGGTCACCTCGTTGGGGACAGGATTTGAACTTGTGCGGGGAGACCCTACGGGATTTCAAGTCTAATGCCTTAACCTCTCAGCCACCATGACTAGCACTGTACTTAAAGTTACCACGGGCAGTATTATGACATTTTTTGCCTCTTATCTCCACTGGACATTTTCCAGAATATTCTGTGGGTTTAAAAGTGCACAAGCCAAACAGCCGTTTCTCAAGTGCAGGGAGGATTTTGAATAACTGGAGCCGGTCAAACAGCATCTCACTGCACAGTACTGGTCTCGCATACCAGGTCACTCACCCAGACTGTGGGGCCACTTGGGTCTCTGTCAGAGTCTCATGTGTGAATAGAGGCAGCCGCTGGGATAATCTGAAGGGGAGGACGGGATTATGTTTCACCTTATAAATATTTACCGTGTAACTCACGCCTTCTCCAGTCTTGTGCGTGTTAGCACGTCTTCAAGCTTGCAGTAGTCCAACATTCCCGGCAGACAGGCGTTCTCCGATGAAAGCGCCCCCTTCTCACAGCTCTGTTCCAGCAGACAAGCTCACCTCGAGAATTATCAGGCGTTTTCTTATTGACATTTGCTGCAATTTAGCTCTTTGCAAGCATTGCAAATTTACAGGCCCTGTAGATAGGGGAAAAAAAGTCTGACTAAACGTTTGTAGCGCAGAGGGGACGAAGGACGGTGCACAGTGTCACTCAACAGTTTCGAGTTCTCTGCACAGAGCCTAACCGCATTTGGGATTGTGTTGTGTACAGCAGTTTTTTGGCCTTTTTTTAGCTCTCATGCTGTTTAATTTAGCTGTTACGCAGTTTCCCAAACGTGTGGCTTGTGTGTTCGTTTTTTTTTTTTTTAGAATCGCTGTGGTTTCATGTACCGTTGGCACCATTAACTAAACCAGGGGCCCATCAGAGAGACGTTATGTTCGGATGATTTAATTGGGCATGTGGAATCGTGGGCGGGGCATATTATAAGGCCCTATTAACTTCCTGAAACACCCCAGGCTTCCATCCTGCTGTTCCTGTGAAAGATGCACATTTACTCTGACTTTTTTGAAGGCCTGTATGTCTCTTATTTTGCTGTAGTGGAGGTGCTCATGGATTAGGGACACAGTAGACTCCTCCCAGATGCACCCCATGTCCCCCCCCCCCAAGCCATCTGTGAGTTTATCCCCTGCTGTCCTAAGTTCCCCCTCCCCCCGCCGGCCCGCCTGGGAGACTGGTCCAGGCCGCAGTAATCCTGTCTCCCGCATACCGGCGTGCCTTGCGTGGCTGGCCAATGGGAACCTCCAGGAAGTGTCCGATTGGGCCAAGGTGACAGATTGCTACAGCTGTCGCCAGATCTGGCTGCCCTACTTCGGGTGGGACATAGATGTTGCTGTTCCAGCCACCGGCAGGGTTGTCGCTGTGCTCCTGTTGCTAGGTGACCCGCTAGAGTCCTCAGCATTCTCCCTGTCCATATTTTATTGCCTGTGAAATTTTCTCTTTGTGGAGACTATAACCCCCCCCAATACCAACGCAGAGCTTCATGACTCATAGAGCCTCCATGCTGGGAAATCCACATCCGTCCAAAGGCATAGAGGCATTGTCCTTACGCAAGCAGATGAGGTTAGAGATCATTCGGATACCTTCACAGCAACATATGCGATGATGTCACAGAGTGACGGCATTGTTATTCTGAGGATAATCTCCTCCCCGCCGCCAGTTTCAGCTGATCTGCATGGGCGCCCATATAAGAGAGACACAACAGAGAGAAACAAAGCCACCCGCTCATAGCGTAGAATCTGTACCGCAAGACGGGCACGGCAGATGGCGATGGCAGAGAGTGTGATGTGCGAAAATGTGGGATTACTCTCCGTAGTCGTGCGGATGTGTAGGTGTAGCGTGTGAGCAAGGAGCGGACAGCCGTGTTTGTGTGTGTGTGGGCCAGTGTGCTTGTGTGTTTTGGTCAGCTTCCGTGTGATGATGTGAAACCGTAACGATGACATTGGGGCCATTCTATGAAGACGCCGGGGACCCTCCGAGGTGTGAGGTCAGGAGTCCCCCTCCCAATGAGCTGGAGTCTGCTTTATAAATCAATATGAATGACCTGACAGAGCGCGGGGAGGAAGAACAACTGATACCCCTCTCTCCCTCTCCCTCCACTTTCACCCCCCCTTTAATACCTTCCACATGCGTGTCCGCTTCCCGTGTTACACCCCTCTCTCAGAATCTCTGGCATCTGAGCATGTAAGTGGTGCTAGTGGTTGTCACTGGCGTGTGGGCGGGGGGGGGGGGGGGGGGGGGGGGGAGCTACCAGGTTAAGCAGACTTGTTGTTTTAATTCATGTGCTGCACTAATGTTGTGTTGATCCTCACAGAACTAAACACTAAACTTCAGATTTGTCTTTAACATCCCTCTGCCTGCGCTGGAGCTCCTTTCAAAATGCTCGCCGTGCCACAAAACGTCTGATTTCTTCACATCGTGTTTAATGGTGCTGCTCGTAGAGATGCACTGTGAATCAGCATCTCGTACAATGAAAAACACTGTAATGTGCTGCATGTCTTGTTCAAACTTCAGTAATGAGTCACTTGGCTTCGCTAAGCTGTGTAACACAGAGGGATTTTCCAGCCACAAGCAGCTGAGTTTAACCCTGAGTCAGTCCCCGGAGGGTAGGAGGGGCACCCCCAGTGCCACCCAACCCCCAACAGATGTCTTACAGTGGTGCCCTGTGGAACGGGTACACTGTGGTGGGAACAGATGTGCTGTAACACTCAGGGGAGACAGGTGCATTGTGGATTGCAAATTCTGTTCAGGACAGAGTGAGGGGGCAGAGAGTTTGTTTATTTGGTTGTTTTTCTGGGGGGGGGGTTGCTAAGCT